CCCCAAAACCCCAAAACCCCTTGCTTTAATGATACTATTGCATTGAAGCTATTTAATATACTATACATATTCAATTTCAATCATCAAATAAATTAAGTTCAAAGCTGTCCTGTCTTCAAATGAAATTCTAGCAATGCTTTTCTCTAATTATAATCGTTCAACATCATTTCACTGCTCTCTTCAAAATCATGAAGGCACTAATTCAGTTTATCATCAAAATCCATCACATACATATATGACACAGAGTCATTAATCATCAAAAGCTTTATTAATTTGAAAAAGTGCTCATCACAATAGATCAGCCTTTCCTCTTAAGTTAGAGGAACAGCAGCCGGAATAGCTTTGATACCTATCAAGGATTGATGGAAAAATACTAATCTAAATACCATATCTACAAATGTTCCTCGTTTTGATATTTTCTGCCAAATTAGCAGGAAAATATCACTGAGATACTGATGCGAGTGCATTTCTTAGCAGGCTTTTTATCCAAAGGGTATTATACTGTTTATCTTAGGGTCTGCTTCTTACTTTGAATTCTCTATGAATTCTAATACGGTATTATATATACTCTCTTCTGCTCTGATAAGACCTATTCTACGGAAAACTTCTAGCACAGCTTTCCCACCCTTAAAGGGATGATTATGATCTTTTCCTGTAAAATGAGGAGGTCCTAATTTCTTGATATCATGTAATAGAATAGCCCATTTCATTATATTCTAGTCCTCTTTATTTAGTGATTTATAGTAGGCATCATTTATTGTGAGATAAAGTACATTCATAGTATGAACACAAACTATATTGTCATCTATGGTCAAAAGCTCAATCCACTCAGGAATTAGATTTTTTATTTCATCATAGACAAGAGGAAGGACATCTGTCTTCACAGCTTTAAAAAACTTAAAATACCTCTATTCCCTGTCCTATTTTGGAATTTCTGCATTTTTACAGACATTAATTGCATCCTCAAGATCCAGAATCTTTGCATAATTCTATATAGCATCTATGACATGAGGAAAAAATTGATCGAAGTCATAGCAGTGAATTGCTGTTAAGTTAGAAATCTTTCGGTCAGCCTAGGCTTATTCATTATCTGTATTGTTTCTCATCTAAAATTTTAAAAAATTATAATTATGTCACATATTATTAATTAGTCGATTTTATATCAGAATTCTCTTCATGGGGTTTTGGGGTTTTGGGG